ACACGGGCCTAGTAAAACGCCAACTTCAGTTGCTTTCTTTCATCGAAATTCGAACTCCAATATCATTGATCAACGAAAGTGTAGATTTAATCTGTACATTTATATAGTTGGCAGATGGATGCTTCATTTAAAAAGAGAAAAAAAAAAGAGAGCAACTTATACTCTTATGTGGAACTTTGAATAGGTCAATTTTTTTTAACAATTCTCCCATTTATTAATATATTAATATTTAATGAAAAAAATTAAAAAAATCCAACTACCAAATTAGCCACTAAAAATCTCATATTTTTCCACATATTTTCTTCTTTATATCATCCTCTCCAAACCTTCTCTTTCTTTCTCATTCCAACTCGTCACACAGTATCTTGATTCAAGAAACTCGAATCCCTTCATTCTTTATTTATTTATTTTTATTATTTGAAGTATATTAGTGTTTTTCTAGAAAAGAAAATGGAAAAGGAGAGTGTAATAACGAGTCAACTCAGTGAAGGGATGGAAATTGCAAAAGAGCTCAAGAGAAAAATCGATCAACCACCCTCCTCCTCATCCACGTATTCATTACAGGAATATTCCATTTTAATCGACAAATTAGTTTCTTGCTACGACAATGCAATATCGATATTGCTCGAAAACGAAGCTCCATTAGTAAACTCTTGTGCTGTTACTAATTATGCATTGGAGGGCAGCCCTACAAGTGAAGTTTCTCACCTCGATTCTACGGAACATGTCTGTAAACATGTTAACAAGAAACGGTACCGTTTTTCTTTCTTTTCTTTTTTTCTTTTTTCTTTTTATTCCAACTTCATGTTATTAATTAATTAATTATTTATTTGTTTTATGTTTAATTGTTTTAAACAGAAAGAATTCAGGTAGATGGAGTGAGCAAGTGAATGTGTGTGGAGTTGAAATAAATGATGGGTATTATTGGAGAAAATATGGGCAGAAAGATATATTGGGTGCTAATTACCCAAGGTTAGTTTTTCATATTCTTATTTTCTTGATAATTATGACATATTTTATTTGATCATTATTATTATTATTGTATTAAGTAATTAGTACTAATTAAGCAAAATTGAATCTCATTGGAAAATATATTGATTATGGCTGGAGGTTTTGACTTTTGAGGTATGAAAATTCCAACTACCAAGAATGTTGAAGCCATTTAATTTGGGCATTATTTTTAAATTTATTTATTTCGGAATTTAATTCTCAAACAATGTGGGACATATGTGAAACTTAGACAAGTAACATAAATATTGTTTTTGTGTGTGAGAGACAGGTGATCATAATGTATTAATATTGGAAATTGGAATAAGATTTCAGAATTCCACCGATTTTGATCTGAATATTTTTTATTTTTGGAACAATATTTCTCGTTTACAATTCCGAATTTTCATTTCTGGTATTTTCCGATTGTATTTTGGTCCGATTTCCTATCTGATTTTAGTTTCCGAAAATATTTTGTAATTCTTTTCTTTCAAAAACTACACTTATAAATATCAATATTTTTTTTATATGACAAGTCACTAAGAAAATGAAAATTACGAGATTTCCGTTGATTCCGTTCCGAAAAAATGTCCGATTTTAGAACAATTTTTCGTTCCAATTTCCAATTTTTCCGAAATAAATAATTCCAATTCGATTCATCTGATTTCCCAAGGTTTGAACTATTACAACAGGGCATATTACAGATGCACACATAGGTACACACAAGGATGTTTGGCAACAAAACAAGTACAACAAATGGACAAAAACCCCAGTACTACTACTACTACTACAACAACAAACTCCCAAGTTGTCTACAAAGGAACCCACACTTGTACTCAACAGAGACATATACTCAAAGTTGAAAGCCAACAACAGCTGGTCAATATTACTAATGTCGAGCCTGAAACTAATGCCGTCGAAACCGATCATCGATTCTTTGTTGATCCACAAAGAACCTATTCACCTCCGACGAACGATTTTCTTACAAGTCACAGTTTATTGAGTCCGGACATTAATTTCCCGCCCGGAGATATTGATTTGTTGATTGACGATGACGTGGATTTCGATTATCGTTTCCTAGGAGCACCCGGCTTTTTCTGACCGTCCGATGATCGATTCCTAGGAGCCCGGGCCTTTGTGGAGTTTGTCAGTCCCAATTACATGCATGCTGACTTAATAGAATATTCTCTTAATTATTGCGAAGAAATTTGAGATACAATTATCTCAACTTTTGCTTCTAATTTTATGTTTGACATCTCTTATTTTCACTTTTGTCATTTTTCCTTGAACATATACTTTATGCATGTGGTGCAATTTTCCGTTTTTTATGGGGTTTTTTAAAAAAAAAACAGAGCTAGCTTTTATAGTTGTGTTTGAACTCTGTTCGATAAGCAATCGAATTGAGCTCGAACGAGCTTTTATCGAGCTTCAGTTTGAGCCCAACTTCGTTATTTATCAAACAAAAATGTGTTAGTTTGTCATATTAACTTTACTTTGAGTAATTTAAGAATCTTGAGTAATTTACTTTGATATTCAGTACCTTTTGGTCTAACAAATCACTCTTTGTCCATACAAACACACACACAATCCAATTGTGCATGTCTACTTGTGTAACACCTAATTTCTTCCCAAGAAAAAAGACAAAATTAAGCAACAACATAGATTAATTAGGCATCTATAACCTTTTTATCATGTAAAATACTATGATCCGATCCCTTCCATTTAAAGACAACCACTAATTAACTTCATAATGTGATTGATTTACATTAAGTCATTAACTACACAATAGTACTCTTCCACTTATTAGCCAATTCACCTAATGAAATAGTTGAAGAGCCATTCTCACTAAGCACCTTTTCAGCATCATTCTTTAAACCTCTCACTCGATTCCGAACCCCATCTCCTTCTTCCCCTTCCATCAAACACTTCACAACCTTCGCAATCTCAACTCTCTCCACTAATCCACTTTCACCAACTTCCGGCCTCAACGCAATCTTAACATCCTCATGTAGCATCACCGCGTTCATTCTCTGCTCCGCGTACAACGGCCAAGCGATCAACGGTACCCCATTAACCACGCTCTCGAGCGCAGAATTCCACCCGCAGTGTGACATGAACGCCCCTGTCGACTTATGGGCCAGGATCTGGGCTTGCGGGGCCCACAGCGGTTGGACCATTCCGCGGGCCCCAATCCTGTCCAGGAACCCTTCGGGCAGATAAGCTAGAGGGTCGTCGGAATTTCGGATATCGAAATACGTGGCGTTCAGAGATTTGTCGTTTGGGCATCTAACCACCCATAGAAATTTGTGCCCACTCATTTCCAATCCGAGAGCAAGTTCAATTAGTTGAGCATGAGAGAGGGTCCCACCACTCCCAAACGAGACGTACAAAACCGAGTTACTAGGTTGTTCATCCAACCACCTTAAACACTCCGAGTTATCCTCCTCCGGTTTTCTTGAACCGGTTTGGATCAAGGGCCCGATTGGGTAGATAACCGGGTTGCCACTTTCTTTTTCTTGCAGAGCTTGAATCGGGCCGGGCTCTAGTTCTCTGAAGCTATTGACGATTATGCCCTCGGCCATTCTATACCTCTTGCAGTGATGAAGAAGCCATTTGTAGGCGTCATTTTTTCTGTCCTGAACCGGGTCGAGTAGCTCCTTCCCGTGGACCGGGATGCAACCCGGAATCAGCAGTTTCTCCGCCACTTCTCTGTACTCAGACGACACCGTTTCGTCGAGCTTCGGCAGGTGAAGGAAGAGAGATAAAGCCATAGCTGTGGAGGGGTAGAATATGTACGGAGGAATATTAAATTCAGAAGCAACTTCGAAGACGTCGGTGCCGAAGAGATCGACGACGAAGGCGGCGATCTTTTTGCCGCCGTCGATCAGGGTTTTGACGGCGGCGCGAATCGACGGCAGGGAGCGTACGGCGGTGAGGGAGATGATCGTTTCGATCTTGACGTCGTCGGAGGGCGGCAGGTCGTCGAATGTGACGGCGGGGAGGAGGAGGTAGTCGACGGCGGAAGGGAGGGTGGAGAGAAGGGTTATCTGGGCGGCGGAGGGAGGGGGGCCGTGATTTGGGATGAGGAAAGTGGCGGAGAAGTAGGGGTGGTGGTGGAGTAGTTTCTTGGAGAATTGTATTAAGGGGATGAGGTGGCCCATGCCTGGAGTAGGGATGATGACGATGTGGGCGGTGGTGGTGGAATCCGCCATGGATGGAAGGTGGCCGGAGAAGATAGTGTGAAGATAATGTGTAGCTGAGAGAAAGGTGAATATTGTGTTTTGTTTTCTTCGATTCTATATATATCTATATCTATATCTATATATAATGGAAAAATCAGAGGGTGTGGGGGTTGGAGAAAGGGAAATTTGTATTTATGGGATGTTGCGTTTCTAATAAGAAAATATATTACCTTATTGCAATAAAATTTACCTTATTACCTTATTGCAATAAAATTTTATTATGAATTAATTAATTATAAAGAAATATTTAGAGAAAAATAAATTAAAAGAAAGAAACTTGTAACTATAATTAGGCATGTAGGGTTGGAAAATAAGAGATTTATAGTGGAAGGATTCTACTCGGATTGTTTTGAATTTTGAACTTTTTATGATCAGAAAATTAGTAGAACAAAAATACTGGTCTGAACTATATAGCACGTAAACTTCAACTTTTTAGCATTTCCGAGCATCGGAAACGTTTCGTGTCGAGAATTCTAGGGCATGTGACAGACAAATTATGTGTCATTTTGCAATTTCTAAAAAATTAGAAACATGTTTGAGCATCAAATTTTCAAATATTTTTTGTTGTTTCCCATATTATTCACATGATTTATGATCAATTGCAAATATTGATAGTTGATAGTAACATTTATTTTGAACATTTTAGTATAAAAATATATTAAAAGAATTTATTTATAAATAAAAACTTATATATATTTATATAGAATATTTATAAATACATCCCTATACTTTTAATATACTTTCACGTTTCCCCTAAGTTTCCATATCCCATTTTCGAAACATACCGTTTCCTCGTATCCGGTTTTTGATTTCTCGTATCGTTATTTCCGTGTCCGTGCTACATAGATTATTATCGATTAGCACTACATTAATATTTATTTCTTTTATATGTAAGATAGAAAAGATTAACGCGCACGCAGACACACATTAAGCATAAATTGGGCCCTATGTATGTGAAATTGTCAAGGCATTAGTCCATATTCATGGTATAGAATAGAAGCCCACTAAGACAAGCCCATTGTCTCAACAGATTGTTTTTGTCAAATGGCACTATTTTTTTTATAATTATTATATTAAATTATTAAAAATCATGATTTTTCAGTCCGATTTAACTTCTGGAAACAGTTTAAAAATTCATTTTTGTTAGCAAGTGATCACATCTTCTTAATAATCGTAATTACACTTTGTAGTTAAGTTAATCTCAGATTGTATCTTGTATTGTGTACTCCCGATAATAGTTGATTGGAGTCTCTGATCTGCTCTCGGAAATGTACGTTTCTCATTATATTTGAACCGAACCTCGTAAAACTCAAGAAAAAGAAACAGAAAAACGAAGAAGCTATATACATATTACTTCATCGAAGGATCCCGAATTCTGAATAAACCATATTATAATTTCGAATCTTTAACAAGCATTTCCATAATCAAGTCATTCCAAGAATCTATCGGCCCCGGCAAACACCAATGCAAACAATCATTCTGTATCTTTGCATCTCTACCCTTCCCTTCATACGGATGAAATTCCCGATATACCCCCGGATGTCCGTCCGGTCTCAAAAGCGAAAGCATAGTCGGATCAAACATCTTCATCAAACTCACCTCCCCATCGTTAAACGACGAATACGCCCTCTCGAACTCCCCTAGTTCCACCCTCCTCATTATCTCATCCGTATCGTTGATCTCAATCTCCCCCATTTTGAACGGCCTAGATCGATTGCAGTAACCCCCCGTGTCCCACTCCCCGTTCTCAAAGTGGTCGGGTGCCGAAGTTCTAAACAAGATAAACGGGGTTTTGTTCTTCTCTTTCTTAGAGTCGGCCATGAATTTGAAAGTGGAGCTGAGTGCCTTTTCGTACGCGTAGCCGAATCCGAGCTGAGTTATGTTCTCGTTGTGGCAATTGTGACACCCCACTAGGGTTTTGTTCTCGTAGTAGAGTGCGGATTTGAGGAACCATTTGCCACCGGCGATTATTACGTAATCGAGATCCTCGTACGCGTTCGTCCAAACGGGGTCCACCTCGTCTAGGTGGAGCTTGATTAACCCCGTCGAGACACCGTTGTCGTCCTCGAATGTGAATGCTTTCATGAGGAAAGGTGACCATATTACGGACACAGTGAAGTGGTGCGTTGGGAAAGACCATCTTCGGTTTCTATATGTCTTGTCGTGGTAGATTTCAACCGCTTCTTCGACCTTAAAAAATATATATAGATTGATAGTCACATGTTGCGTATATATCAAGAAAATGCAACACATAATCAATTAGGTAATAAAGTTTTAATTTTCTGACATAGACAATCAAACTACTTGAACAAACATACATCAAATTAATCTTAGCAGCTGTAATAAGGCCTACTTAATCATGATTTTCAACCAAAATTTCATCATTGTCTCGATAATCGTTTTCAAGCGACAATAATTAACAACAGACACATAGGACCCTCATATCACATCATTTCTTTTGTCAAGATTATTAATATTATTCCATAAAAATGATTTGAGGTCCACCAAGCAATTGATCAGCAGCATTCGATTTTTTATTTTTATTTTAAAAAAGGCTCGAAAACAGAGAATCGAGTTCAAGTATATAATTGTACCGGCGAGAGCATGCAGAGCAAGGATTGCACGTGATTACGCATGATTGAATCACCGATGAATGCGAGAGATTTGTATCGCATTATGTTGAGGAATTTCTTAGGATCGAATTTGGGTAAATTGCAGTCCTTCGGTTTCCATCGCCAGTAAACGTAATCGAAATCTGGCCGTCCGTTTTTCATACAATTTTGAGGGGATTCGATCGTACGGCAAGTGGTGTTTGTGTACATTGGACCATTTGGATCAGGAATCCATTCTCCTGTAAATAAATCACATGTTTCTGTAACTGCAAAAAAAATTAACAATTTCAAGAAATTAGTCTAGCTAGATTTAATGTTCTTGAATTATTGTATTAGTGCTAATCATTAAATTAATTATTACTACAATGATTAAGGTTTTAAGGGCTAAATTATTTTCTCAAATTCAGTGTCATGATATATACATGAACAAAGCTGGATGATTGGTAAACTTTGACAGAAAAAATAACTTTCAAATTACTGATTTAATTAATTTATTAAAATTTTGTAACATAAATAAAAGATTCAAAATCTGAATTAATTAGCAGAAAATAGGAAGGATTTAAAAACAAAAAAAATCATGCATGGATTCAAATTAAAGTAAAGATTGAATTTTTATTACTTACAATTTTGTGAAGCATTGTGACTAGCAGGACTCACAAGACGATCAACATCGGTGGTTTCCGGCGGCGGCTCAGCCAGGAGCCGGGGTGGCGGCGGAGTCGTGGTGTCGACGGGCAATCCGGTGTCGCCGCCGTCACCCAACAGAACAGGTGAAAACTGAACAAAACTGGAGGAAAAGAGGCGGTAAGCGAGGCCCAGGAAGAGAAAACAAACACCAAATTTCACGAAAATCGATGAAAATGTGTTGTTCCTTTGAATACTACTGCTATTCAACTGCTTCATTTTCTCTCTATCAAATTCTCTCTCATCATTTGGGAAACAAGAGAGAGAGAGAGACGATGAATCCAAGAAAAGATTTAAGAAAAATTCTGACGAGTTTTTCTCGGCGAACAAACTGAACGGAAATGTTTTGTTGGAATATCAAATATGGGGTGATTAAATGACAAAAAAAAAAAAGGAAAAAAAAAGTAAATTAAGGTGCAGATATTGACAAATTAATAAAGATGGGGGGTGGTTGTCTGTTATAACAAAACTTAGGTAGGGTGATTTTTGTAATAAAAGATTGTTTCTTCTGCGGCTCTGTACTCCATCTGCCTATTTATTACCATCATTAATGATGTACTAATCTCATTCCCCCTCACCATATAAGCAATTTTGGATGCACTATATTATATATATATTGGTGGTTGGAATTTCTTTTATTATTATTTTTTTCTATTGTAGATTTTATTGCATTTTTATCATATTAATGTTAGGGGTGTCGAACAACTATAATCAGACTCGAGTTGAAGCTCGAATTCGAGCTTTTATCGAGTTCACAAGTCAGGCTCAGCTCCTTTACCGCCCCTATATAACATTGTAAACTTTATTCAATAAAAATAATGAATGAATGTGTTAATAGAAATTGTAATTATTAATATTAAAAAGTTAGATCCTTTGCACATGCTGTGTAATTTAGTGGCTTTGTTCTTGATGATGCTAATTATTTAGATCACCTGGGGTGGTGTAGAAAATGAACTGGGAGAGCAAAGCAGATCAGTAGCTTGACAACTTGATGATCCTGAGGTACCTGCGAAATGAACACACGTGAACTACGCCGGGGGTTGATCCGGCGGAAACCCCTCCGACGCTCAAGTCAGACGTGCTGATCATAGAAATGGTCCAGAGAATACGTATTGTAGTATTGCTCAGTTAATAGGACGTACCTTAAGGAATGAGTTCAAAGGTGTATTTATAGCTTAGTCGAGATTGTCGGGCCCCAAACCTTGCTTGAAGGTGATTGGGCCTCGGTGATAGTGGTCTTCGATATTGGGCTCGTGGCCCAGTAGGTAAATAAATTGTAGGCCCATTGGGTTGGCCCAATTAGGCATATCATTAAGCCCCCCACTCTCGAGTCGATGTGGGGGCCATGTCGAAATGGGTTCTCAATCGTGTCGAGAGTAAAAATTGTAGTGTTCGTTCTTTGGCATATGGCCTGATGGTGTGCGAAAATGTATTGGAGCGTGTGTCGGAGGGGCGTGAATGCGCGTTGGCGCATAGCGCGACCAAGTTGTCGCGATGTAAGTTAATTGAGTCGTCGGTTTTGTCCCGGACGCTGTAGTAGCGAATTATCTCCTCGTGGGAGTTGTCTCGTCGCGGGGTAATAGTGTTGATCGAGTTATCTCCTCGTAGGAGTTGTCTCGCGATAATGTAGTAGCACGGATCAAGTAATCTCCCCGTGGGAGTTGTTATTTATTGAGCGACCAAGTTGTCACGAT